GTCATTAGCGTCTTTTTTCGACTTAATCTCTTCTACTGGGATGTTTTTTAATCCGTCGCTTATCCGTGTCCACGCATCATGTATTTTATGTTTTTTCTGATCATCACGTGAAGTGTGAAGCATCCCATAATAATCATTCAGCCACCCACATATAGCACTAAAAACTTCAATACTTGATCACTGCTCCACTCAATCATGGTTCAAGTGTATTTTAAAACGAATAATTTGCCAAAAAAGGAATAAATTAGGTTGAGATACCCTGCGTCCACGTCGTAAGGATAGGATTGACTGTTGGTACAGCGGGCAGCATGTAAACGGTCGCTGCCGCTCGAGATGCCACTCGTGCTGCTGGTCCTTTGACTTCCGTCCAAAAAAACGCGAACGAAGGGAGCATGCGGCAGCGGCAGCGGCATAAGCACTGCCCACCTTGCTGCCCAATGCCCTGTTCACTGCCCGGTATTAGTTATGACTTATAAGATCTGTGAAATCGAAAAGTTTGTAGATTAAGCTCAATAAAAGTATAACTTGCTCTAGTGTATTTAAAAGAGTCCGGTTTATCAGAATAGTAGAAATGTTTCATTCAAGTTTGAGGTCGTTTGGTACTTAACGTTCATAAAAAGTGAAATATTTTAAATTATTGTTCACCGTGTTGGAAGACAAAATCTAAAAAAGAGCATAATCTTACTGAAGCGACTTATTTCTACTAACGTACTGTTATTTATTTAAAGCAGAGTTCCCCAAACTTTTTTGTGTCGTAGACCCCTTGCCATGTTTTTCCGTGTTGGGTAGACCCCCTACTTACCTGGTATTGATTTCCTGTAAATTTCTAACTGTAGTGAAGTTTAGTGTTAAACACTTAGAGTAAAAACACATGTTAATTTATGCATTTATTAATTGAATTTAAATTAAAACAACTCAAAATAAAATTTTGGATCTGTTATGTAAAATATACGTAACATTAAATAAACAGGTGTCTGACCAATAAGTGCCCGCATTGGGAATAAGTTCCCGCATTGAAAAAAAATAAGAGGTATAAAATAAAAACAAAGTGAAAAATAATAAAAAAAAAGTTTTTTACTTAAAATAGTACAATAAGCGAGTTCGTTTATTAATTATAACATACACGTATGTTCTACAATTATTCCACTGTTAGTATGATTAAATTCCCCTTCTTATACGTTTAAGTTATCTAAAAATAGACAAAAAATTAACGAATTTTATTGTGTACCTATCCTTGAATTTTCAGAATAATTTAAAAAAAAATATTTTCTATAAAGGGGGGTTCTTTAAAAAAATAAACATAAAATAAACTATAAATAAAATAACATAAGCAATAAGTCAATATTTTTAGTGAGAAGGATGAACCTTGTAAGGGTTAATCTTAAATCTCCTCGGCTAATGATGTCCAGTCTGTTTCTTTTTTTCGTTAGGAGATTGGTAACAGCGCTGAACCCCCTTTCCACTAGGTATGACGATGGAAAAAAAATTAAAAATGTCCTCGCTATATTCTATAATACGGGATAAGTAACGGGTATGTTGTTTTGCAGCCAGAATTGCTGATATCCGTTTTTAAACTGAACCTTAAGTTCTTCGTTTGTACTTAGTTCAGTCAGTTCCTCTTGTATTACGACATTCGTTTCTTCTATGTCACCATATGGATTAATTATCCACGGTGGTATTACTATAGTCAAAATATCCTCAAACCTAGATGCATGATCTGAATAGAGGGCATTTAAATGTTGAACGTAAGTTGAAACGTCGTGTTCCTGGCAGCTTGTCTGTGACAAATTGGGGAACTGAGAAAATTCGCCCCGTCCAATATTTTGCTTCATTAGTTTAACTCTGGCAAGAAACGCTGATAAGATGGACTTTGTTTTAATCAAATTTAAACTGTCGCCTTGTAATTGCAAATTAACCATATTAAATTTTGTAAACAAATCTGTTAAATAGTCTGTTTTCCTCTTCATTAAATTTTCTTTTAAAATTTTATCTTTAGTATCCAGAAATTTTAAAATAGTCTCAAAAAGTGCAAAAAATCTTGTCAAACATAAGCCTTTCGACAGCCAGCGTACTTCAGTGTGAAGGAGTAATTGATGAAAGTGTTCGTCATTTTCTTCACACAACTGCGCAAATAACCGCGTATTCAACGCGTTGCTTCGGATTCGGTTTACTGCATTAATGACTAAATGAAGTGATTCATGCAATCTAACACTCAAATTTTTAGCAACTAAATGTTGTCGATGGATGACGCAATGTGTTGCTAACACCCCTGACACATTTTGTTTTAAATAGCTTATAAATCCACGATAACGTCCAACCATGGCAGGTGCTCCATCTGTAGCTATATTTGATAAAGGAATTGCTTTTTCAATGAAGTAATCCTTCAAAACATGAAATATAGATTCACCTTTAGTGTCGGTTATCAAAGTTCTTGCGAAGAGCAGTTCTTCGTAGATTCCTTGATTCATAATAAAACGAACATATGCCAATAATAATGCTGCATTATCAGGTAAAGTTGACTCGTCCAGTTGTATAGAGAAATGGGTCGTTTGCAAATAATTACATAACAAGCTATCAGAACTCATTTCATCAATACGTCTTTCAACAGTATTGTTGCTTAAGGGAATTCTTTTAATGATATCAGATGCAGGTTTGTGTAAAACAGTTTTTAAAACCTCTTCAACGGCTGGCAAAATTAACTTCTCTCCGATAGTATGCGGTTTTCCAGATTTTGCTATAAGTAACGAGATATTGTAAGACGCCCGCAAACCATTATCATTTCTTTGTGACGTCGAAGCGAACATTCTGTCCAGTGTAGGTCTCTTCTGAAATTTATCTTTGAGTGTTTAAAAGTATTTCAAATCTTTGTCTATTTTATCAGGTTGGCATCTTCTCAGATGATCTTGCAGTTTAGATGGTTTCATAGCGTCATTGCCCAAAACTTTGTTGCATAAAAGGCACATAGGCGATTGTTTGTCCGGCAATGATGGAATGAAGCCAAATTTCAAATAATCAACACTGTACTGTCTACATTTCTTTTTAGATTCGGACATGGCATCAGTCATCTGTGGGCAAAATTAAATTATTTGAATAAGACAGAAAATCCAGCAGCTGTATATTAAAAATATTTTTTGATTTTTCCGAAAACATTCCATAATTCGAACATCTTCTTGCAACAATTAGCTCGAATTACGGAGATTGCACTGTAATTATATTACCGATTGCCAAAACTTTCAAAAAGAAACTATTGAGGAGTACTAGTGTAATTTTGCATGATTGAATATTTAACTACTAATAACTAAAGTCATGATTGGCGTAATTTATCTATCTTTGCTAACTACGAGTACAAAACTAAAATTTAATAAAAAATAATGTACTTACTTTTCTCCAGCACTCTCAAACAAAATAACACTGACTCACTATAATTTATGTGATATACTATCTGTTTATATTTTTTAAAATATTTTTTCCTTTTCAAGATTCAGGAAACGAATACACGTATTTGTCCCACATTCGTATTTATAGAGTGACGAATTGAACAAGTCAGTGCAAGGTAGCGAAGCTCTGAGACTGCGACTCTCAGGTTTTTACAAGTTTAAAATGTATTGCGACCACAAAGCGAATACCAACATCCTACAACTTACACAATTTTATAAACATATGTAATAAATTTTTTACTTCATAGGTACTTTTATAAATAATGTATATGTTTTGATATTATAAGATAGTATGATGTAAGTAAACAGGTACTATCAGTGTATGTGTTGAGATCCACTATCGTGGACCCCCATATTCATTTCATGGACCCCCAAATTTTTTTTCGCTGACGTAGACCCCTTGCAGGTTGTCATAGACCCCTAGGGGTCGATATAGACCACTTTAGGAATCAATGATTTAAAGCATCAAGAAAGCATCAGACAATTCAGGTACCCACATATCTTCCACTTGAAATTATTTATGAATAGATCTCAGTTAATAGAATCGACTTGAGAAGTTCACAGTTTCTTTATTTTCTGTTTACCTTCCACTTCGGAGTTACCCAGGGAAGTAATTGTCTGGGAGATATCGATAAGTGCAAATGAGGGAGAAGATGGATGGCTACGGAATCCCAATACTACGGAGACGCTCCTTCGCAAGACAAATGTTGCAAATAATAAATCTTTAAGCAACGGCGGAAACTACCCGGATGAAAACCATTGTTATTAATTGAAAAATAAGGAAGAAAATGCGCACGATGGCATAGCATATTACTCTTCAGCACTGTCCAAAATATAAGTACGAGGTCTGTAAATTAGTGATGAGACTGGCAACGTAACGTTCGATCTGGCAAAACTCGAGGTGCCGGGCTTGGAGGGGAGACAGGGGAATATGTGATCCGCTTTCAGTACAAGTTTGAACCAAGGAGAGAGTATATTGAAGAAATGATGAAAATATCGTCAGAATCCGGGATCTTGTGCATGCAGATCGTCGGTTGACTGTCAGAATGATAGGAGAAGAGTTAAATTTGGCTCACACCACCGTTCATCAGATCAAGAACAACTGCGTGTTGCATCACGATAAGGAGCACCTTGTCACACGACAATGTCTATAAACGAGTTCTTGACCAGTAAAGACATTCCTGTGGCTCCTCAGCCTCCTTATTTGCCTGACTTAAGTCTTTGTAACCTTTTTTCTCTTCCCGAAGCTGAGAAATTACTTCAAGGGAACACATTTTGGGACAGTCGGAAACATTCAAACGGCTGTTACCAATAGCTGTAGGCTATTCCAATATCGGAGTTCCAGCACTGCTATGAGGAGTGGGAGATCCGAAAATATTTGAATACAAAAATTAAAAAAAATAGTATCATCACTTGTCAAAATGTCCAAATTCTGTAATACATCTCCAATCAGCAAAATCCAAAGGAAGTAACGATATGAATTATCAGTCAGTAATTTCATGTATCGGTGCCACGAAATGAGTATGAATGGATGGAAGCAGGTAATTACAATGTTTTTTCTTTAGTCTAGGAGCATCCAGTAAGGCCCTTATAGTGGGTGGTTTAAGTTCGATCCTCATCATTGGGATGTCGGAGACGGTTAGAGATACAAAGTCGCTTAAATGGGGGCAAAGTTGCGTATTCAGGTAACTAACAAAATGGGGCTTAGAAAGTTTCGAAATTCCCGAAATCCTTTCAATTCTTTCCTGACATTATTTTTAATGGAATTTCAAAATGTATATAAATTTGCTACTTTTTCTTATTTACAAGATGGCATAATTAGAATTTCAATATGACGCCTCGTCTCTTGCCCTCTTCTTACTGTCTTTCGAGTCATCAGGTATACTATTCATCAGATGAATGCAATTGTAATTATATCTCAATACAGGGTAAATATTGATTTTATTAATTTTATCTTTCGATAAGAGGGATAGAGAAAGATAGGTGGGCACACCTTTTAATGATTAACTTTAGTTAAAAAGTCATATATTTAGGCCTCCGCCTATAGTTTGACTTTAATCATGAAATTCTTGCTTGCGTAATAATGTTAACAACAAAGAAGCACCACTCAGGAATTCTCTACCAATATCGCAAATAGATTACCGCTTTGAGTTACTTACATATTGCCACAGAAATATTGTCCATTGTCTTTTGAATCACTATGTGATGTTGTATATAATTGCAATTTTACACAAGCCAAAACTTGAAGAGGCTATTTTCTAAAATACTCTGTTGCTCCCGGAAAAGATCAGTTTTGAAGTCTTGTGATCCATTTAGTAGAAACATCGACTGGCCCGCTACGTAGGTTCCTGAAAAATCTGATAATTGCTGGATAAAGAGAACTCAATAAGAAACGTTGTTGATATTTTGGATAGAACTCTACATTCAATGGCGGGGAATGTTAATCTTTTGCATGCCAACTGGGCTCAATCATGGCAAGCATTTCTTATCAAGAAACAAACCTTTTTGCCAACGGGTTATGCAATATATGTCTTAGAAGCAAAGTTTTTCAATAATCATCAACTTTTTTATACTAGCTTGGGGAATCACCTGTCCAATTAAGAAACACTCAGTTTATGTTAGTATTTACAGGAGATCAAATTCAGCCTTATACGAAAAAAACATGTATTCAGTCTAGATGATGTAACTGCTAGAGCATCAATTCGAGCTGATAGTAGTTCGGAACAATTGTTGGTACTTGAATCTTTAATGTTTCATAAAAATACTTTAAATAAACTGTACAGTTAATTACATACTTACTTACTTACTACTATCTTTAAGTTAGAACCGTTTGCATTTTTAATTGCCATGCGAGAAAGTTTATAATGTACTATGCAAACTTGTTCAGTAGAACGAACAAAAGAATTGAGAATGTGATAGTTTAGCAAAAGAGGTATTTCCCAGTTGGACTAGCCTATTAGTCTAATCATATTAGACGAAAATACCCATGCTTTGCGAAATAATTGTAAGGTCTGGTTTTATTGCTGCAAGTTGTTCAAGGGGGTATTCAAAACATGCACGTATAAAATAAGTACACCAATTTTTGTGCAAAAGCTTTTTATTGGACAAGAATGTTTTTTGGAATTCAATCGAAAGTGTTGACAGGAACGAAAAAACTCACTGCTATTAAATGCTCTTTGAACGAACCCTGTATATTGCTCAATAAACTAGTAGTGATGGCCGGTAATCAGGTGTTTGAGATAAACAATTAGAAATTCTCAAAAAACTGCTTGACCGATGTAATCCAATTTTGTTGTTGTTATTTAGAAGATCTGAAGAGTTTCAAGTAGTTGCGTGAAATTATCGTCGCATTACGAACAAGTGGCAAAACCTGCACTTTGCCACGTTTTTCAGCCATAACATTTTTTTTTTTTATTTGGCATACCGCTTCGACCTAAAGGTCATTAGCGGGGAGTAGGTTAAATTTTGTACATAAATCTAGATGCTTTAAGAAAATTGGAAATGTTTATAATATTACACTGTGGTCCTATAATGTCAGCCAGTGTTCCCTTTAGTTTATACATAAACCTATATACTTCTAGCACTGGGCACTCAATTAGTAGGTGTTTCACTGTTAACTGCACGTCACAGATTTCACATAGGGGCACAGGTTCTTGAGACAGGAGGTATCCGTGGGTAGCTCGTGTGTGTCCTAGCCTTAGTCGTGTGATGATGGTCTGGATTTTGCGGTTGTTGGTGACGGTTTGCCATGGCATCAACTTAGACTTGAGTTCAAGTAATTTGGATGGTTTACTCTGCCACAGATTGTTCCAGTTCTGGATGATTTTCGATTTTAAATGAGCCCTTACATCATACTCTGGTACTTTGACAATATATCTAGTAGCGTTGTTGGCAGCGTCTTTTGCTTTGCGATCTGCTAGCTCATTTCCTGGAATTCCAACGTGTGATGGAACCCATAGGAAAACAATTCTTTTGTGCATTGCAATATCTTTCATTTCATCCCGAATTCTTTGAGCTATGGCGTTCTTGCTGTACATAGTGCTAATTAACTTAAGCGAATTCAATGAGTCGGATATAACTAACCAATTATTTGCGGAGTTACATTTAATATACTTGATGGCTTCAAATATTGCATAGAGTTCACCCGTAAGGACTGTGGCTGTCTCTGGCAGCTTACATTCTATAATGGATGTTGGTGTTATCACTGCAGCGCCAACGTGCATTTGTAATTTTGAGGCATCTGTATATATTTCACTGTAGTTACCATATTGATTGCGGATTTCTGAAAATTTCTGGTATATAATTTCTTTTGGTGTTTCCTCTTTGCATAGTTTTGTCAGTGTGCTGTTGATAACAGGTATCTGAATGCTCCAAGGTGGGTTAGTTGTCTGAGTGGTGGTGATAGTAGGAGGAAGTATAGGCATACGTAGTTGATTTAGATACTGTGTTATTCTGTAGTTGAAACTTGAGGCAATTTGACGGTTGACAGATGTGTGACTAAATCCTGGTACAGATGGGTTAGATGCAAGTTTAGTTGCGTATTGTAGACTCAGGACTTGTCTTCTAACATATAGGGGAGCTTCTCCAGACTCACAGTATAAACTGTCAATGGGTGTGGTTCTGAAGGCTCCTAATATCAGGCGTAGTGCAGAATTATGTAGAACGTCTAGAGGTTTCAATACTGTTGATTTTGCCGAGCTATATGCTATGCAGCCATAATCTATTTTCGATCTCACTAGTGCACGATATATACTTAAAAGGGTTTTTCCATCTGCACCCCAGTGTCTATTGGCTAGGTATCGTAACATGTTGAGTCCTTTCTGACAAGATTGAATTAGATAAGTAATATGACTCCTCCAGGTCAGACGTTGATCAAATATAATCCCAAGGAACTTTATTTCTTGATGTGTTTTCAGGTCTACATTTGATAAGCGTAGAGTTGGTTGTGTATGAGTTGACTTTTTAGAGAATATGATGCATTGTGTTTTGTCAGGAGAGAATGTCAGGCCATTTTTATTAGACCAGTGCTCCATTTGATTTAACGTTGATTGGAGCAACGATGTAGTAGTTGCCATATTTTTGCCTTTAACATATACAATCATGTCATCAGCATAAAGGCGAGTTTGGAGAGGCTTTTTTATATTCGCCACGATGTCATTAATGGCTACCAGGAAAAGTGTTGGGCTGATAATAGATCCTTGGGGTAGGCCGTTGATCTGCGTTTCAGCATCTGATAGTACACCATTGGCACGAACTTGGTAATTTCTGTTGGCAAGAAAATGTTGTATGAATGCTAGAATGTGTCCATCGTAGCCCCAGTTTTTTAGTTTGATGAGTACGTCAAACTTCCATACGGTATCAAATGCCTTATTGACATCAAAGTAAATGGCTGCACAATGCTGCCGTTCAGAGAATGCCTCTTGTATGTAAGATTCTAGGTCTACGATATTATCCAATGTAGATCTGTTTAATCTGAATCCGCCCTGTTCGTGCGCCAGCTGCTTTTTGCTTTCCAAGTTCCACAATAATCTCCGGTTAACAATTTTTTCTAATAGCTTGCACATTGAACACGTTAATGAAATTGGTCTATAGGATTCTGGAACCTGGGGTGGTGCGTTTGGTTTTAGAATTGGTATAACTGTGGCTTTCCTCCATTCGTTTGGAAAAACTTGCTTAGTCCATATTATATTGTAAATTTTTAAAAGTATGCTCATCGCTGAATGTGAGAGGTGCTTTAGGAAAATTGTTGGTATATCATCAGGTCCAGGTGATGTGTTCTTCAATGTAAAAAGTGCCTCGGTTAGTTCCTGTTCTGTAATGGGGTTATTTATTGAATGAAGGGTTTCGCTAATGGGAATTGTTCTATCTGTATTTCTCTTGTAATTAAGGAATGCTGCGCTATAATTTTGGTCACTGGAATTTTTGAAATATGTTTTGGATAAGGTGTTAGCTATGTCTCTGCTTTGAGTGAAAGTGTGGGTTCCTTTCTTTATCGACCTAATGACTGAATGTGATTTTTTTCCAGACATGCTTTTGATTTTCTTCCAGACTGTGGATACATTGGTGGCATTATTGATGGTTGAAACAAATTTTTGCCATGATAATTTTTGTTCCCTTTTTAAAACAAGTCTTGCCTTTGCACGTTTGTGTTTGAAGTCAGTTAGGTTTTCAACTGTTTTATATCTTCTCATTTTATTCAGAGCTTGCTTGCTTTCTCCTACTGCATGTTCGCATTTTTCGCTCCACCAAGGGACTGGATTCCTTCTCCGTATCACCCTAGTTTTGCCTATGTTTTGGTAAGCAGCTTCTTTGATTAGATTCATAAAGCTTTGAACGGTAGCATCGACGTCATCTGTGATCTCAAAAGTGTTTAGGTTATTATCGATATAAGCAGAAAAAGAGGGCCAGTTGGCTTTTTTTAAATTCCATTTTTCTCTTGGTTGTATATCTGTAATTTCTTTGTTTATATCTTGTATTATTATTGGGAAATGGTCACTCCCATACAAATCGTCCGCGACATTCCATTGTAAATGTGTAATCAGATTAGAGGAGCACATGCTAAGATCAATTGCAGAGAAGCGTCCAGAGGCTGAATCGAATCTTGTACTGCTACCATCATTCAGTAGAATCATGTTAGCATGGTCAATTATATTTTTTATAATATTTCCCCGCGTGTCATTTTTGTATGAATTCCATGTGTGACTGTGAGCATTGAAATCTCATAATATTATCCGTGGTGATGGTATTTGTTGCAGTAATGACTCAAGCTCATTTTCTTCTAAATAATAATTGGGAGGTATATATATGTTACATATGTTGATCTTTGTATCTGATTCGGCGGTAATGGCTACAGCTTCTAGATTTGTGGTAAGGGTTATAGGTTTGGCTAATATATCTGATTTTATGTATATTGCGACTCCACCGCTAGCTGTAGTTCTTTCACAGTGTTTGAAAAATCCAGTGTACTGTTTTGGTGTATGCGATTTGGTTTCGTGGAAGTGTGTCTCTTGTAGGCATATAATGTCTGGGTTGAAATCGGAAATTAATTTTCGTAACATATTTAAATGGATATAATATCCATTTAAGTTCCATTGTAGTATTGACTTGAATTTAAAAAGTAGAGTCAATAGATGAAGTATCACTGAGTTGGTCGCTGAGATTTTTTTCAAGATGCCGTTCCATTGTTTTTCGTAATCTCGTACAGCGGTTTTTCAAGGCTTTGTCTGTGATGTGTGGATATATTAGCAGAAGCATCTCGATTAATCCTTTAATGTCAGATGTGTGGTCGTTGACGACGGATATTATGTCTTTTGTACCGTGGGTGTTTTCCAATAGACTTTTCAATTGGTCTGAGTTCAGTATGAGTGGCGGGGTTTGGTTGTCGATAAAAGATTTAACAGACTTGAATGCAATTTCTGGTATGTGTGATGGTTGGATATCTATTTTGGGTTTCTTCATAGTTTGGTTTTTTGGAGTAACGAAGATTGGTTCCCCAGAATTTCCAGGCATAAGTTGATTCTCAGTTGAGGGGGACAAAATTTCTGAGAGGCCACGTTTGTTACTAGTTTGTGTGTCTGAATCTGTGATATCGTTGGGTTTTGATTGGGGTTGGTTTGAAGTTGTGGCTGCAGTTGTTTGTGACGCTGAACTTGCTATGTTGGAGTTTGGAGTAGTTAGTACTGACGGTTGTTGGTTGTTTTCAACAGTGAATTGCTCTGATGCTGATGTTTGTGGTGTGGGTGTTTCTGTCTGTGTCGATGGGCATTGAGATGCAATATGACCAGAAAGCTTACATTTGAAGCATTTCTGGCTGTCAAGTGAGAGGAATATACGGTAGGTGAGGTTTTCGTAGGTCATTTCCACAGTTTCTGGAATTATGCTAGGCTCTACAGGCATTATGTATACCTGTCGCCTGAAGCTTAATATATGGCTGTACTCAGGTAAAGTTGCACCTATTCTTAGAAAGGATATGGGAGAAATGAGTTTTACGCCTTTTTGCTCTAGTATGTCTTTCAAGATTTTGTGTGGAATGGTGGGACATACGTTGGATATTACTAATCTATCAGATGGTGTAATAAGTCTGCGAGCCTTTACTGACTCTCCATTAATGATGATTTCCCCAGGATCTTCAAGGAATTTGTCTACAAGTTGCTTGCTGGATAAATAGATACATATCCGATTATTGGATATTCTGGAGCAGAAAAGGATGTTTTTTGGGTCTACTATAGGGCCTAGTTTTAGCAGATAATCTTGGATTTTTAGTCCATCGACAGCGTTGAAGATGATGGCTTGCTCTTTGTTTGGGTATTTGGTAGAACTTTGACTTAATATATCAGAGTACGATTTTGCAGAGTTGGTATTTTGTGATGTGTTTGGCGAATTCATGACTGTTTTATTATTTTATCAGGCAATTTGATGTTGTTATATCCTGCGGCATCCCTGAATACGGTCCTGTCCACCGAATTCGGTTTGTTTTGGTGCGCGATTTATACAGACGCAACCAATGGATGGAATTCCGATGGCCTAGGAATTTGCAGATTGTCGTGTTGTATTGTAGAATTGAAGGCTGGTACTCACAGTCTATGATGGCTTCAATATTGGCAGGTAGATAACTTACACACTGGATTTTAATACGGCGTATTTCACTACTTTTGCTTGATTGTATCCGAGCACGATTCACTGGTTGCATGCGGCAAAGCGATCAGGAACGGACTCCCCATAACATTTTTGCTATTAGTTGGACCTTTTTACGTGTGGACTCATTTTGTAGGTCTCATAAATACCTAAAAATCTTATATGAAAAGTTTTTTCGTTCCTGGCAACATTTTCGATTGAATCCCAAAAAACACGTTTTCTCGTTCTTTGCTTTCAAATAAAAAGTTTTCCCACAAAAATTGGTGTACCCATGTTATGCGTCCATGTTTTAAATACCAGCTTGAACAAAATGCACCAATAAATCCAGACTTTACAATTATTTCGGGGAAATTGCTATATGCAAATTATAGCAACATGAAATCGTTTATTTATAACAGTCGTGGTGGCATTATAATCACAATGTGTTTGGAATTGCAATAATTTCACTCACACCCCTCCTAGCATGTCGTGTTTTCAATGACATCTTCGTCTGTAATCATATTTAATACTTTGATAGTATTCAACAACAAAACATTTTATTTCGTCTAACTTATAATTGGATTTCAGATCAAATTTCCGAGCTACATCTCATAAAAGTTCAACATTCCCAGCAACCACCTCCTCAGACGCAGATGTTAATGAGAGATGTCGTAAAGCTCAAATTGAAAGCTAGATGGGAAAGGTGGAAATGGCGGAATGGACGTCACTACTTAACAAGCTTTTCTATCAACTTCATCGCGATACTTATGGTTATAACTGTATTTGGAGGCGTTTATTAGCTATTAAAGTTGGATATTCCATTTTATTTGTGGAATTTTTGCTAATGTGTAATGTTAATGTTATCATCTATACTATATTTCCTGGATGGAAAACAAAACAAATGAATTAAAAAGGAAAGAATATGTTTCTTCTTCAATCACTCAAGGTACTTATAAAACGAACGATGAAGGAATCATAGTCACAATACAGGGTGTTTCACTACTTATCCGACAAATTCTAACCACATATGCACTGTTACGAGAAAAGTTGATTTCTCAAAAAAGAATATATAATAAAAGTTCTACAGAAATCGAGATAATCAAATAATACAGTTTAACGCAGTTCACTTACTTATAAAAGCTGTTCACATTTGTTTCCATTGACTGCAATACACGCTTGGGCGCATCTAATCCAATTTCGGCGCACTAATTCAAATACACCTCCTTCCTGCTGTGCCTTAAGGCTCAAACTGTCGGCACCCACTGTGATTTGGTCGCGCAATTCGTCAATATTCTGAACTGGAGTACTGTATACCTTGTTTTCCAAGTATCCCATAAAAAGAAGTTATTCATTATCAAAAGAACGCCTGCACGTGACGCGCGAGAAGTCCTTAGAACAATCACCAAGGAAAATTGTCTAATTCGTGCAAGTCTCACCAATACCAATTTCGACATGCATACAGGGCTCCTTAAACCTTTCGCCATAATTTTCAAGGGACCAACAAAATACATATTTTCTTTTGTCTAAACAGCAAATACTACACTACACAAAGCGGACTGGACTTGATCCCTGTGCTGGAGAGATGTGCAGAGGAGCTTGCCCCAGCTCTTTTGCATCTCTTTTAGATATCTTACGAATCCTACACTTTCCCAGAAAACTTGAAATTTTGATCACGTCCAGCCCAACCCAAAAAGAAGGATCTAAGGTGATGGAGAGGTGCATAAGTCGGGAGCTTCCGGAGTATCTTGAACATCACGGCATGATTAGCGACAGGCAGTATGGTTTCCGGCACCAGCGAACCACGGGGGACCTCCTAGCTTACGTCATGCATCTATAGAGTGAGCTCATCCAGGCATATGCTGAGGATCATGTCGTTGCTCTTGATATCTCAAAAACGTTCGATGTGGCATGCTGCCCTTTTATCCAAATTTCCATCATATATGGTGTCCCAGTTAAGCTTTGCAGATGGATGCTTGACTTTCTCACTGGCCTCATCATGTCCGTCGTGATTGACGGGTCTTCGTTTCATCCCACAACGCGGGTGTTCCCCAGGAATCGATCTTGGCTCCGATACTATTCCCCTTACGTATCAACGCTCTCCTTTCCTGTACGATCAATTCGATCTACGGCTTTGCTGATGGCAGTACTGTTCATGCAGGAATTCAGAGTGGCAAGCCAATCTTTGCCAGTAAGCTGGAGAAAAGCAGCGACTTCTTCTCTGACGAGAGACCTGGAGGCTATCACTGCAATCTGGTACAGTTTAATGCTTCCAAAACACAGTACTGCACCTTGACTAACAAGAAGCGCTTTAGTGCTCATCCGGCTTCAATGGATGGGCCAGTGCCACCAAAGAGCCATTCATTTCGGCTGATCAGAGTCCATATCACCGAGGACTTGATCTGGCACGAACACATCTCGTCAATTGCGGCAGCTGCTGTGAAAAAGCTTTTTGTTTAGGACTAAGAAGTACTTTTCTTCTCCTCATTTTGTTCTGCACAAGGTCCAGATAAGACCTAGCCTAGAGTACTGCTCTCATTCTTAAGGTGCTGCCGCCCGACTACATTATCCATGATCGATGATGCATAGATGACTAATCGATGACTCTTCTTTAACGAACAGTCTCGGAAGCGTTTCGCCCAGCCGAGCTGTCGACAATCTAGCTCTCTTCTATCGCTGTGTCAACGGGCTTTACTCCTCAGAGCTCTCCTCGATGATGCCGTCGCGCAATATGCCTGCCATGCTCGCCTGACTTCAGCCTCCCATCGTAACCGTGTTCAAGTTCGTACAGCCAGAACTGACCGATACGACCGCTCCATCGAGATTGTGAAATAACCTTCCTGATGAGACTTTTCAATTTCTATTAACCTTAGGCAGTTCGAAAATCGGATTAACAAAGCGTCTTCAAGCTCCTCGTAGCAGCCGCGGTGCCCTGGTAACGTATGTCCTAAAAGTTTTGGCACCAAAAATTTATCGGATTTATTTTAATGAAGAAATTTATTTAAGCACTAACTAGTTATCATAAATTACAACTCAATACTTGACTAAGCTATACTATCGAATTACGTGGAGTGGCCCATTCTAATCTATCAGACGCAACTTTCTTCTAATGTCTCTCATGAGGTCCTGGACGCAATTCAGATCAATTTCTCTCAGTTAATAAATTCGCCGTCTTAATTGTTCTTCATATTGGGCTTTCCAGCCTCCATGATAAACCTTCCTAGACAATAAAACCCAAAAATCATCTACTGAGCGAGCCTGCGGCAAGTTTGTATTATTATCGTTTTTGGAAACAAAAGGTATGTTGGGTTATCGAAGCCAGTTTTGGGTATTTCTTGAGCAGTGGCATGATGCTAGGTCTGGTCAAAATATGATATGGTCATTAACATCATGTTCGTGGACAAGTGGAAAGGCAGTTATCAATATAGCGCTGACTACTCAAAGCTTCACCCCTCAATCTTCCCACAAAAGATGGGATACACCCCTGTTAGAAATTGCACACCAGACAAAAAGGTATCTGCAAATTTCGCTATAGGTTTGTATTTAACATTGTCAGGGTATTCCTCTATGTTGTCCGTATAAAATACGTCGTTTCTCTTCATTTTAAGAAAATTACTCAGAGTGAAATACTTTTCGTCATCTAAAATAATGATTTTTCCATTGGCAAAGTGTACATGCCTCAGTTGACGGCAGCATCTTGGTATACGAAGTAGTTGCGCTTGATAGTATTTGGGGCACTTCGGTCTCTTTCGATATCAAATTTAAGACCATGGCTCCTCAATTCAACCATATCGTACTTTTAGAAGATCTATATTTTCCAGCCAGTCTCTTTGTTGACATTCCAAACTAATTTTTGTTCTTCTCACCTCTGTGTAGTAAATGCACGTGGTTTTCCACTTGGGAGATTCAGACATGGTATTCCCTGTTCGCACTCCGCTATTATTCGATAAATTTTTCTGCATGAAATGTTGATATTCTGGAATATTTGACAGCTTTCACTTTGGGTACACGCCCACCAACTTGTAGATACTTTTTCTTATTTCTAATGTATACGACATCTTGAAGCGGAAACTTAAAAATAAATAAATGTTAACTGATAGTAAAGTAAATAAACAAAATTTTGTTTCCAAAGGCAACTTGATATTATTTTGTGTTTGTAAAAATGAAAGCCAATGAATTTTCACCCAAAACTTTTAAGACATACGTTATTTAAGCTTCTGCCTATAAAATGGGACTATATCGACTGCAGTTTTGGAGAGTAATCTCCTGCCGCGAAGGCCTCGATTTATGGCTGCCAAGTTATACAAAAAATTAGATCCTGTAGGAACGTGTGTAACACCGATGATGAGAAGCGAAACAAAAAACCTACGAATTAGTCAAATAGCTATCGGCTAACGACATCACAATTAATCACTGTGGTCCGTGTTAGTGGAATCCATACCGGGGATGATGGCGGCACAAACCCTAGAATGACGACGGATGGATAGATGGACTCGAACCGGGAATAACACCACCTGATAGTCCTGGGGATTACGCCGTAAGTAAACATTGAGAGGGGTTGAAGACCTTCGCTGGCAATTAAATTCCAGCAATCAAAGGGGCTAACATCGAATGTAATTAATTTAAGTGTCGCAACAAGCCTACCGCCGTTCTTTTTCCTGTGGCGGCCCGGGCGGAGGGCAGGCGTCTTGCTTCCTGTTTCTTTCTGATGGGATCTACACAGGAAGATATTAACGGTGTTCTAAAAGAAAGTTCATTATGCATTAGGTAAAGGTATTCACCCACAAACGGATAAATTATAGTAAAGAACACAATATACAGGGTGTTTCAGTTTATTGTTGCGTAACTTTAAGATTCGATAGAACATTTAAAATTAATGCATAAAGTCTATATAAACATGGGTCGAGAAATGCGTGGCTTCCGAAATACAGGGTGTTTAAATTTACTTTCTAAAATAGTTTTTTTTAAATATTTCAAACAATATTTGATGTATAACAGTGAAAATTGGTATACAAGGGTTTTTTGGTACGACAAAACGAACCATGGGCATAGTTTTACTGTAGCCGCTAGAGGGCGCTCTATACTGTTCCTGTAGTGTATTAAAATGACCAACAAATTTTTCTTAGTGCAATTTTTTGCTTTTTGAATAAAAAAACTGATTCTTCGCACTTTTCAACATAAAAAAGCTCTCTTGTGAATTTTCGTTATAGTTACCCGTTTTTGGGATATTTCGATTTTTAAGGTTCGATGCAGTTTTAATTATTTATGATAAAATAACGTTAAAAAGTCAGTATCTCGATAATTTTTAGAAGTAGGCTGTGCCTGCAAATATCTTTGAAATTGAAAGCAGAATAAGGTTAAACGTCAATTAGTTGACAGTTAGTTGAAGAAGCAGCCAGAGAATACACACGAAGATTTCCAAACAGACGACATCCAACTCGCTCAGTATTTGTAAGAGTGCATCGCCAAATAATTGACAAATGGTTTTGCAAATCTCCAAAGGGATCAAAAGATAAATGTTCGTCAGCGCAGATTTACCCGTATGATTCTGCGTGAGTTTGATAGAGATCCGACCACAAGTGTTAGGGGAGTTTCTGGTGCCTTGGGAATTTCAGCAAGCCATGTTTACCGTGTTCTTAGAAATGACCATAGACGTCCTTACCATTTGCAACCTGTGCAAGGACTACAGCCAGGGGACGGAGAACGAAGAATCACATTTTGTCAGTGGATTCTTGATAGAACTGATAATAATAGGGAGTTTTTAAGTAACGTTTTATGGACCGATGAGTCATGCTTCACTAGACGTGGAGTGGTAGATTTTCATAATCAACATATTTGGTCGCATGAAAATCCGCATGCAGTTCGGGAAAGAAATTTTCAGCTTGAATTTAGTGTGAACGTGTGGATTGGTATCTACCGTAATCGACTATT